TGCGGCTCGAGATTGTAATTCCCATACAACACGGCCGCTCATGTTGTAAACTATACTTATAAAACTTATTGATAATGCATGAGCTATTACTCCAATAGGAGCTGTCCATTTAATCAGGTGATTGACCTTGTAAATCTGATACAACACTGTGATACAACCAACACCAGTGTTGTATAAGATTTACAACACGGTCGTCACCTTGAGACAACCCAACACTAGCAAAGGTCTCAGTTTTAGTATCGCATCATAGACCTTCACTAGGTTTTGAAGCAATCAAAGACGGATAACAGAACTCGTTTATGCAACAGATGGCTTGCTTTCCATGTGGAATGGATAATTATTCAAAATGTTCTGTGTTGCAGTAAATTGCGCATGCTTAATAGGGACTAAACTCAGCAGTTACCTTAATTGTCATTTTTCGTCATTTATCTCACTGTAATTCATGTTAATTTGTGTTGGAGTTTTATAAGTCGTTTACAACATTCGTGTCCGTGTTGTATGGGCTTTAAAATCTCTCGCCTTCGGCTCGAGATTGTAAAATCCCATACAACACGGCCGCTCATGTTGTAAACTATACTTATAGAGGTTGTCTACTACTCTTCGTTCATGCCTCAAAACTTAATTTTCAAGATGGCGCGCAGGAACTCATAAATTTTTAGCTAAATATTGTATACCAAAAAATTGTCTCAGAAAAGTTGTCCGTCGTTTGTCAGCCATATTTGGTGATCTTACCTTATTTAGAAGTACGTGTGGACTGATTTTTGACGATTCTCTTGACTTTTAAAGGTTGAAATCGTCTGAAACTTGCAGATATTATAGCGACAACACTTTTCAACATTCGGCCATTTTGTTTGTTTCCATATATGGCATGGATTCGCTAAAGGAAGCCCAAAACTAAAAAGCACAGGGATCCCGAACGAATGACACACAATTCTTTGATATGTATTTTTTTTGTCAGCATTTCTAGGAATGTACATTCACTACAAAAACGTGAAGACTTATAAGAACATCAGTGAGATGCCAGAAGTTTTGAAAGTCAATAGTTTTTCTTTACTCCTGGCAGCCATTTCTTGTATAGGAATGTCAATGGTCGCTAATTTCCAGGTAAAAAGTCACTAAAAAGTACTTCTTCTAATTTTAATATCAACTTATTGCACTCATCACTTTTAAATGTCAACATTTTTTCGTGCTTTCTTTTGTTCTCTACGCAAGTGAGTCTGCTGTGTATGAAAACAGCGATCGCTCACATTTAACGTGAAAAAGGCTTATTGGGCATGTTTTCATTCAGTATGTCAATAGCCCCATACCGCATCTTGTTGGTTCTGTATTGGTCTTTGGTTTTGCAATGTTGTACTGCTGGTGTCAGAGTTTTATTTCGTACAAGGGACAAGCACTGGGAATGAACTCCAAGATATCTACAGTCATAAGGACAATGCTATCATTTGCTGCAACGGTTTTTTTCGTTATATGTATCCTTTATTCAGGTAAAGTTCGCGAAAACACGGCCACAGAGAGGGGGCAGATGCAGGATTTTTTT